AAATTACATTCTTGGTCCCTGTGGTTTAATAAATAAATAGAGTAAATCAATCGAAAATAAAAAATAAACTAAATGATTAAAATACCCCTATAAATTAACTGAGTCAACTAAATTTTTTGGATGAAGCTAGATTTAGGGACCCAATACGTTATAAAATAAAGAATAAGGACATAATCTATAGATATTTTAAAATAGGACCCAAAGTGTTAAAACACTAAACCATAGGGACCGAGATTGTAATTTACTCTATTTCGTATTATGTATTTTAAAACCTTTATTTTAGTGTCTCAAATATGACATTTTGTGAAAAACACTTTGGGCTAAATATTTGATGCACGAATGATCGTGTGAGAATGAGAGTTTAAGTTTGAAGCGTAAGAAATAGATCTAGATTCTTGATCAGCTTTTATCTCAAACTCATCTATGAATCATGTTTGATATGAGGATTGATCCAGTGAATCGCATGTCGATGCATCTCAACCTAATGTGCATCTAAGAGTAGAGATCATTTCTTACGCTTACCATCTTAACTCTCATTATCACTAGAACCCAACCCATATTTAATCAAAATAAAGGTAACGGAAAGTATGTTACACATAATAAGAATAAGATCAAAGTATATTGCATTTTCATATAACGGATTGTTCAGAAAGAAAAAACAATTATTCAATTTTAACTCTTTTTATAATTTTCATTTTAACCTTTATATTTTTTTGATTTATTATTTTTATTTTTAACTCCTTTGATATTTTTCTATTATTCTATTTACCTTTTCATTTTCTATTTTATACACTAATCTTATCAATTAATTAATTAATAACGTATTAACTAAAAGACATATATTTTAGTATTGTTAATTAAATTGTATTTTTAAGTTTAAAAATATTATATAATTTTGATTGAATTTTATTTATATTTATCTCCTTGGAGTCTCAATAACAACAAAAGAATTGGATTAAGTTACACATACAAATGTAAAATACTAAATAATATATATAGGGTTGGTTCAGTTGAAAAGAGTTACAGTGAGAAACATTCAAATAAATAATTCAGAAACTTAATTATTCAAAATATTTTCATATAATTATTTTTTTAATTATTATTAAATATATTTAGTTATCAAAAAACAAATATAATAATTTTAGTAATATTTATGTAACGTAAACATTAAAATTGTACTTATTTTAGCTCAAAGATAATAAAAAAATGTTAAATAATTTGAAATAAATATTCAATTTAATCATTAAATATAAATATTTTAAATATTAATTAATTCTGATATATAATATAAAGTAGATCATTTTTATTTTTATTTTCATTCATATTATATGTAATGGGTATTTAAAATCATAAATAATAGATTTTTTTCTAAAATTTGTTTTAAGAAATTCGAATATTATAATATTTATAATAATTAATTTGAAATTCTTTTATGTCAATATATTTTATTCTTTAATTTGTTACCATCTTATTTGTATTAGTTAATACTAGAAGCGTACTCGCGCAATGCAGCGAGATACATCATGATTTTAATATTTCATTTTATTCTTTATCTCAGTCGATGTTATAATATGGCTTTATGTGATTTTGAGAAATCGATGATGTTTCTATTTTTAAATAAA